AAAAAAAGTACAATTACTGATAAAAAAAAAAGACTACTTGTACCGTGAGTATTTGTAATTCGTTACTTCACACCCCTGGGTAGGTCACTATTGGTTTTATGCAAAACCTAATTTTTCCTGTTATCCTGATCTTGCTCGGCATGTAAACACTGTTAATGGTGTTTTGGTGTATTGTTCACATTTATGTTTACATTGACGTCAAAGCCTAAAGGAAAAAGGCGTTTTAAAAATCTTGTTGTAAGCACTTTTCTTGCATTGGTGTGTTTGTATGAGCTAGTCTGTGAGTTACCAGTCTTTTGTTGCTAAACACTTGTATATTGGATGCATGTATAATGCCACTAAATATACATAGTGGGTTTTTTTTCTGTATGACTTTTCTACTATTGTGTAGTTTACTCTGTATTTTTAAGGCAGGTGAATACATGTTTTTAGTGTCACAGAAAGAGAAGGGAAGACCTCAGAGAATCACATCCTTGGAGTTTTCCCTCTTTTTCTGCTTGTTTAGCAATTGAGACTTTCTTACCTAAAGCTCTTTTTGAACTGTCACATCAAAGCACTCGTTTTTTTTTATTCAGCTCTTTTCATCTCTGGAAATACTGCAAGGAATGTATTTCTATAGGTTTGACTTTTTTCTTCTTCCTGTCCTTGCAGCTGTTCGGAACGACCGGAACAAGAGGAAGAAGGAAGAGAAGAAGCAGGAGTGTTCGGAGAGTTACGTCTTAAGTCCTGATACGGAGCAGATGATCGAGCGGGTTAGGAAGGCCCATCAGGAAACCTTCCCCTCGCTGTGCCAGCTGGGCAAATACACCACGGTAAGTCAGAGGCAAAGCAGCTCTGAACAGTTAGGCCCTATATCCATTTTGGAATTGTAGGTAAATAAATCACAAACTAGGCATGGGCCGATTACCAGTTTCAAGGTATACCGCTGTTTGAAAATTTCACCGTTTCAAAACCGCTAATATTTTCCATTATACCGTTCCTGTGGTATGCGCTGTTTTTCATGTCTCCTCAAAGACAAAGTGTAGTGCACCGAGTGCAGTGTAAAGAGTAACACGACCCTCCTCCTGTTGGTGCGAGCGAGCGGTCAGTCACGTGTGTGTGTGTAGGACGGCCGAACTTAAGGAGCTTCCTCTGGAACTTACGCGATCGGCAACTGGCCGTTTTTGTCTTATTTCTACTCGTCTCTGTTCTGGACTTGCACAAACTGCGTTGCAATGCAATCATTTTCCAAAATGTCATTTATGTGAAAATATGAATCCGTAAATGCCCGTTAACACAGGCCAGAGATGCTGAAGACAGATGCACAGAGAAAAATACTGTAGCAGGCAGATCACTCACTGTTCATGATGCACGAACTATTGGAAGAAAATCCTCAATATTGATTTGGGGGTTTATATGAATGTGTTTCTGAGGTTTGGGTTATTAAATCAAATTATGTATATGAAATTATATAACTAAGTGATATGGAATGATATAAATGATATGTATATGAATTATATAACTAAAATGAAATAACTGTGATTACAGATTTAGGTTAAATAAAGATGTCAGTCTTTATTTTTCTTCTTTTTAGGAAACAAATCAAAGAAAAAATAAAATTCTACTGTTCCTAATATTCTGTATGTTGCTCAAAAACAAAATAGCAGGAAAAAAAATTTTTTTTTTTTACCCAGTCATTTAAAAATAACACATTTTAGAGCTGTAACGACAATACCGTGATAGTGTGAAACCGTGATATTTTTGCTTAAGGTTATCATACCGTCAAAATCTCATACCGGCCCATGCCCATCACAAACTAAGCAAACATTGTCTCTGTCCTTGAACAGAACAACAGTGCAGAACAGAGGGTCGCTCTAGATGTTGACCTGTGGGACAAGTTCAGTGAACTCTCCACCAAATGCATTATTAAAACGGTGGAGTTCGCCAAGCAGCTGCCGGGCTTCACCACACTCACTATCGCAGATCAGATCACCCTGTTAAAGGCCGCCTGTCTCGACATCCTGGTAAGAGCACAACACACTTACATGTGTTCTTGTGTCTAAAATAGTGCATGAATAGATACATTTCAGAAGTGTGAACTTACCCGTGTCTTTCATTCTCGTCTACAGATTCTGCGAATATGTACGCGCTACACACCAGATCAGGACACCATGACGTTTTCAGACGGTCTGACACTGAACCGCACGCAGATGCACAACGCCGGCTTCGGTCCACTGACGGATCTGGTTTTCGCTTTCGCCAACCAGCTCCTGCCTCTGGAGATGGATGATGCAGAGACTGGGCTTCTCAGCGCCATCTGTCTGCTGTGTGGAGGTACTGCAGCTTTTTGAACCAAATCCAGTCAGTTGCACTTATGGGCCATATTTTAGTTTGTGAATGTCGTTTTCATAAATGTTTCATTCAGTCAGTTATCACATAAAACTTTTTTTTGTTTGTTTATTAATTGTATTTTATTTGTCAGCCCTTCACTTGTGCTTTTACATTACTTGTATTAGAGCTGTCAAAATGGCTGAAAAACTAAATTCGAATTTTGCACTTTAAATATTATCAATATTCAAATTATATTTGAATTTAAAAGGCATAATTTCAGTTGGGGGGGGGGGGGGGGGGTGGCTTTTGGCTTCTCTCCTGAGGCCACAAGAGGGCACATCGAGCAAATTATTACTAATGCACTTTTATTAAAGCAATAAAATAACATGACTATCTGTGAAAAAGTACATAATGTTTATAAACCAAATATAATTAAGTTGCTTAAACAATTATAAACAAAACAGCGTCATGTATGCGTAGTTTAACCCTCAAAGACCGAGACAGCCGCCCGCGGCTATAAATAACTATTGCTCTTAAATGATTAATAACTTTTGAAACGCTAATCCAAACTGAATGCTTTAAAAAGTCACTTTAAAAAGATTCTCCGCTTTTCGGAGGTATCACATTTGTCTCATTTGCATATTCAGAGGCTCCGTAGTGTACGTGATTACGTCGTCGCATTTTGACAACGTTGATTCGTCAGAAGAAACCAATACATGTCGTTCCTCTGAGCCAAACAGGAATGATTGTTGACGCTTAGTCCCACCCCTGTGCCTAGATTGGTTAAAACTGTCCCATATTCAACCAATAAACATAGGTTTTGGTCTTTTGAACCACCAACTAGCTTGTTTCTTTGGACATTTGAACAAACACAAAGTGAAAGTAAAGTCTGCCTGCGTGCATGAAAACAAAATAACACATTTGCATGAGAGAACTTTGAAAGAGCACATAAAAACACACAATAGAATACTTTGACATTAAACAAACCAAAAACAAGGATGAAACAGCGGTACATATTGGATAAAGCGCTGGAATTTAGGTATTCGTGTCGCTAGGCGATGTCCCGTTAAAATCGATTCCGATACAGATACAGCCAGCGGATCGATCCATTTATAATATGTATATTATGTAAATAATTCTTATATAGCTCATAAAGATCATTTGCAAAAAAAATTCTGTTTAACTCTGTAAATTTCTCACTGATTTTGTGTGTAGTTTGTGAATAGTTTGTATTTTTGTTGCCGAAGACAATTTGTGCAATTCTTTTCACTAAATAGCTGCACGGTTTGTGTTTGTTGTTCATACTGAGATTGAAAATATTTATCTGAAAACAAAAAATCTTTTTTTTTTATTTTTTTTTTTTACTTTGTTATTATGTAACACTGTTTCCATTTTCTTTACTCCCTAAACGTTTTTGGACACATCTATATTGTTAGTAAACTAGATGGACCTGTTTTTCACTTAAAAGAGCCTATAACAATATTGTGATAAATGGCTATAACTTGCTTGGAGAATGTTATATGTAGAAGAAATTTATTTGGAAGTGTAAAACACCCAGATACAACTTTCTAAAGAAAAAAAAAATCCAAACTTCAGGAGTATCTGTTTGAGTACACCGTAAAAAACAGCCAATTGTTGCTTGCGTTTTTCTTAAAATTCGGGAAATTCATTCTTAGAGAAAACAAAAGGAAAATTGGGACTTTAAATTAGCTAGACTGAAACTTCAAGTTCTCTTGTTTATAATGATATATGAAACTTGATGCTGACTGCTAGAATAGGTCTGAAAAAACAAAGAAAAGTGCAGACGTGTCAGGTGCCCCAAAAATGTTCTAGGTCGTTAAGGGTTAATACAAAAGTCAATCACCGAGTACTTTTTTCATTTAAAAACATGAGATGCAGTGGGATGGGGAAAAAACATCTCAAGACATGTTTTTTTTAAATGTTCAACTTACATTAATTTTACATGGCTATAAACATGCGGCTCTCTTGTGTGACATGCGAGTGCAACGTTGATAGACTTCCCTCTAGAAAATGTGCAAAATATGTGTTCTGTGTGAATGGCTTGGTTTTAGTTTTGACGTAAACAACATCATCTCCGTATTGATGCTCTCTTTTTCCACAATATTTTGAATGAACAATGCAGCAGAACCAAACATTAAAAAGCAACAACACTTGCATCGTCATTGCGTTTCGTGTGCCACTGATAAGGCTGCCTGACGCACACCTAAAATTCGAATGCAAAAACTTTTAATAATAATTAAAATTGCATTAAATTTTTAGGTGTCCATCAGGCCGCCTTATCAGTGGCGCACAAAACGTGTTTTGTTAGCTCAGGGGTAGGCAAGTTCGGTCCTAGAGAGCCTAATCAGTGTCTTCAGGATTACTAAGACTATAGACAGGTGAGGTTTTTATTTTTTTTTTTTTTTCAGGGTTGGAGCTGAACTCTGCAGGACTGCGCGGCTCTCTAGAACCGAACTTGCCTACACCTGTGTTAGCCTATTTAATGTTTTGTTAGCGTATAGGCTGTTAGCCTAATGTGAATTTTTCTTAAATTCGACGAATATTTGAAATTCACATTTTTATTTGACAGCCCTGACTTGTGTACCAAAGTATATCATCCAATGCTGGCCTTTTTATTGTTTGTATTTTTGTTTTTCAATTTGATATCAATTTGACAATGTTGGTTTTAGTTTTTATATATATATATGCATGTCACTCTTTGTTAGCTGATGTTTTAAAACACTGCACTTGTGCTCAGATCGCCAGGATCTGGAGCAGTCGGATAAGGTGGATGTGCTTCAGGAGCCGCTGCTGGAGGCCCTAAAGATCTACGTGAGAAAGAGGAGGCCTCATAAACCACACATGTTCCCCAAGATGCTGATGAAGATCACAGACCTGAGGAGTATCAGCGCTAAAGGTGACATTCACAGTCACTCTTTGAACATCAAGCCTGAATCAACCAGAATCCATTCTAACATAATTTTTTGTATTTCTCAATCAGGAGCCGAGCGAGTAATAACGCTGAAAATGGAGATTCCCGGCTCCATGCCTCCACTCATTCAGGAGATGCTGGAGAATTCGGAGGGTCTGGAGGGTGGCGGTGGGGCGAGAGGAGGAGGAGGTGGAGGAAAAGGAGCGCCACCAGGAAGCTGCAGCCCCAGTTTGTCTCCCAGCTCGGCACACAGCAGCCCCTCAGCTCACTCTCCCTGAGTCTCACCCCCAGACAAGGCTCCGTACGGAACGAAACTGGTTCCAAACCAGAAATAAGCCACAGCCGACCAGCGCCAGAAACCAGAATTCCGGTAGACTTTAATCTGGGCTGACCGGACCCGAACAGTTAATCTGGCCGGCTTTCATTAGCTGAAGACCAATTGAGTTACACACAGGCCGAGCCTGCTCAAAACTCACACTGTCATTAAAACCACCAGTGATTCAGTGACTACCAGAGCCCTGCAGCTTTTCACGTATCGGTGATCTATGAAGACGGCAGAACAAATGCCCCGTGTGTGCAGAAGCGGCTCTTTTCTGTGTCTTCCTAGCTCTGCTCCCATCACACAAACTGTGAAGGCCCAGATAAGCTCTCCTTATCTGAGGGACGCTTTCTCTTGAGCCTGTGACGTTATACATTTCAATCCCTTAAAAGCAAGCTAAAGGACATTAGGACGTCAAATGTCCACAAGTCAGGGACATTTTGAACTTTCCAGCTGTTTTGGTTCTGTTTCTTTGTTTTCTTACAAAAGGATATATGAATATATGAAATCTATATTGACCGAAAAATGAGATTTGAATTTTGTGTCTTAGGTGGAATGCAGAACAGTTCTTATCTTTTCTCTCTCTCACTTTTCTCAAGAGTTAAACACAGTTATGGTCGACCCACTGTTATGTTCACTCCAAGACCTGTTCACGTCATGCACAAGGGCACGTCACACTAGCACTGAAAATCATGCGATGGGGTTAAAATGCAATTTTGTTCAGTGAGGAAATGATTTGGAGACGTATTCACAATGGTCAACTTGGCAGTTGTGGCAAAGAAATGAAAGATCTCATGTAAACAAGCAGCTTGTGATTGATGATGATGTGTTTGAGATCTCAGAGCGGTAAATGCCTTTGTGTAATGTGTATCTTTTTAATATTGTTTCTTAATTTACTCTTTAATTTTTGTAATTGTCAACTGTCGAAAGACAGAGACCCCCTCTACACAGTATTAGCAGATTATAAAATAAAAAGGAGATTTCCAAACATAATGACTCACAAAGAATGCAAGATGTATTTTTAGCGCCCACAAGAAAAACACGTCATTTCAAAAGTATTGAGAATGTTGTAACTGAGCATTTAAAACAGAACGTCATGCCTTTTTTTTGCCTGCACCTCAGTTTGTGGTAGATTTGTTCCTAATCATCTCTGTCACGTGTGTGCTGAGATGCGTCCACTGCCGCATCCTTCTCCTCTGTATCTTACAACATCACTGCCTCTGCTCTCCTGCAACAATCATTGAACAATTGTCAACAACAACACTGCCTCTGTGTGACAATCACTTTAAGTAAAGCTCACAAACAACTCTGCCTCTGTAACACACACTGATCCGCGCCAGACATCTGGGTTTAGGAGACCGCTAGCCTCGTTTTTTTTAAGTCTAAAAGCATCAAATAAGTACTGATTTCACAATTATGGTTTCCTAGAAATGCTTTAAGGTAAGACCTTGTATCGATATTTCTGATAATGTAGCATTCTTTTGTTTTAAATGAAATTAGTCTTATCTGAACCACCAGAGACATTTTGTCATTATTAACTCCTCATTTTATTCCTAACCATATGTACTTTCTATTGTGTGTGTGTGTGTGTTCTGCACAAGAAAGTCAGTCATACAGAGGTTTGGAATAACGTGTTTTTTTGGCAGAATTGTCCCTTTAAATAAAACAATCGCTCGATAAAATGAATGCGTTTAGGAAGCTCCATACAATCCAGTTCTGGTGGATCAGTGTCGGCATATCATTATTGTACCAGTTTACAACAGCTCTGCCTCTGCATCACGTCTGCTGAACCTGTTGTCACGAACCTCTGACTTCCTCTTTAACATGTTCCTGAGGGTGGAGTGTGAACCATTTCACTGCAACTATGCACACGACATGCACAGAGCTCCAGTCTATTCAGTCGCTCAGTACTGCCCGTTTCAGTTGATTCTGCATTCAAAGGTTCATCGCTTTTGAGCCATACTGCGTCACAGACCTCCATGGGCCTCTAGATCTACACGATGTACAGCACAAACCCTGTACTGCTTTAACAGTTGTTATACAGTCAAACGCACAAAAATGTTTCTGTTGTTTCAGGTGATCATAAAAGTAATGTTTAATAAAGACTTCTGTTTTGTGTGTTTCTGACCATGCTGGGTTTTTGTGAATATTTTTTTATCCTTCCCCACAAAGCTGTGGTTTCCTTGTTTCTTTGAGAATTTAAAATATTCTCAGGGTCTGACCACATCAACACAGTTTGTGTTTAGATGTTTTTTCCCCATATCACAGAATATTATGTATAACAATATTGTGCATTGTTTCTGCAAAATTACAACCAAATTTAGTACAGTTATGAGTAATATTATAGGATACTTATTTTTAGCTTTATCGCTATCAATTCTAAACCTAGATTAAATAAATTCATAACATGAATAATGAACCGCTCCACAACTGATTAATAATATACACTGTGTGAAGTACACTAATTTGTGTGGTAGTAGTCTGGTACAAACGCATTTGTGGCTTGATTGTTAATTTAATACATGAACATAAGGTGGACAATTTCCAATGGCTTTGCGGGCTGATAAAAAATGGGGGAAACATGTTCGTAAATTGCTGCCATGCATGAAAAAGTGGCCGTATAACATGTCTTGGTTCACCGAAAATATCTTCCTATGATGGCATCTTCCTGTTCAATAACGCCATCTTCTTCCTCTCTGACACCCAAGTGTACTATCAGCCGTACTGCAGTGTTGTTCAGCACTAAACTGTTACCTATTTTGGGAAGTAAAGAGCAGGCCGATGCTTGATTGGTAAATGTGCATCTTTCACTTCTCTAATGTGCACACCATTATACTGGCAACACTGTCAAAATCTGTTGCTCTGTATCCATGTCATTGCCTGGATGGGTCAGTGGATAACTGCTGTCTGCATGTGTCTCTTCTGATACTGAAAGCATGTTATGAAAATGAAACATTGCAAATAGCAATCAGATAAACAAAAATATGCAGCCTTGAGGACATTTCAAGCAGTCTCATTTAAAGAAACAACTTGTGTAAAGAAGACCAAAGTCAGCTGACAGGCAGCTCATTTTTTGCACAAAATAAAAGTTTAGTGCTAACTGACTAGCATGTTCAGGAGGTTGTGGCATGTACAGGAGGGTAGCAGGTATTTTTTCAGAGCTTTTAGTGGTCACACGCAGCATCATTTCTAAAAAGAGTCATAAAACTTCCTGTTATCATTTACAAAGAGCAATTTGATGTCAATATATAGAAGCACCACTGAAATCCTGTGAACATAAAATAATACTGAGCCGTTCTCACTGAAAGAAAATAGTGAAATACATAAATTATCTATATCATTTTCTAATTGAGGAAAAATTAAATATGCTCCTTATTAATACTGTGAGAATTATTTATATAATTTGCATTACCTATATTTTGGGTGCCTGCAAATATTTATTCTTAAACATCTTTCTACAATAGCAAAACACTTTTTTTTCAATGTACTTTGGATTACAATATGCAAGATGTGCTCCATAATAACCAGAATGAAGAGAACGCTGAGGATGACTATGAGCTTGTAGATATGGATGATGGTGATCATGAAGATGTAAACTCTGACTCTGATCAGGATTATGTTAATGTAGATCAGGATGACTCTGAACCAGACTACATCAATGTGGAAACAGACGATTCAGAAAAAGACTATGTCAATGTCGATCTTACAGAACACAGAAGTACACTGGGCAATAACTATGAAGATTTATGAAAGCTATTTAATTATTAATTTCTATAAGTGTGTGCTATCTGCCTTCCATAACGACTGCTCAGTGGTTTATAGTCAAAAACACCACAGTACCCAATTCATTTTAAGTTTAAACAAACAGCTTCACATCTGCTTGTACTCTGTACAATGATGATATTTCATCTTTGCATCTACAAAATGACACTTCCTCAAATCTTTCTCACAGCTTTATCCGCGTTAAAAAAAAGAAAACAGCTATTCTCAGAATCAATACCACAAATTCAGCATGATTTCACATTAAGTGCTAAACTTAAAGCCCATTTCCAAGTACTATAAATTTGAGCATATATGGTTTATAGAAACTCTCAAACAGTTTCACTTTTGTTGCAGAAACCACTTGATATGCAGTAGTCATATATATGTAGTCATTTTTTATAGATTAAAAAAAAAGACAACATTTTGTGTGGGACATTAGCTTTATCACATTTTCCATCAATGAAGAAACATGCATTTTACCACACAGTAATGCTGGAGTTGCAGCATCTGGAAAGAGCTGATTAATGTAAATTCGAGCAGCAGTGCCAAACCCTGCTCCCTTCCTGAAGACTTCAGTTCCAGCTCTTTAGCACACACATGCCTGTTATTTTCATGCAATCCATTTGTGACCCTGGACCACAAAATCAGCCATAAGGGTCAATTTTTTCGAAATTGAGATTTATACATAATCTGAAAGCTGAACAAATAAGCTTTCCGTTGATGTATGGTTTGTTAGGATATGACAATATTTGGCCGAGATACAACTAAAATTCATTTAAAATTTTGAAAATCTAGAATCTGAGGGTGCAAAAAAATCTAAATTCTGAGAAAATCACCTTTAAAGTTGTCAAAATGAAGTTCTTAGCAATGCATATTACTAATCAAAAATTAAGTTTTGATATATTTGCGGTAGGAAATTTACTACATATCTTCATGGAACATGATCGTTCCTTAATAGCCTAATGATTTTTGGCATAAAAGAAAAATCGATCATTTTGACCCATACAATGTATTTTTGGCTATTGCTAAAAATATACCCCAGCGACTTAAGACTGGTTTTGTGCTCCAGGGTCACATATAATTCATGAGCATCTAGATTAGCTGGTTTGATTAGAATTGGAGCTAAACCGCAGGATGGGAGTCCTCCGGGAGCAGGGTTGGCTACACCTGAACCAGAACCAGAACCATTCCTGAAAAAATAGTTAGGGTCACATCATTACTATCACTTCTATAAAAACTATTTATGGTGTGTCCAGTTTAAGGGCAATAGACTGATTGACAGATCAGTTCCTAACACACACAGCGTACGTTTCTGTTCTTACCAAAGCATCATCAGCTCTTCTCACTAATCAGGAAGTAACATCTTAATTCATGTCCATTTTGAAAGAACGCAAGCATCGCAATGCCAAGACCTTCTCTTCTCACTTTGATATTGGGTAAACTCAATTTTTAATTCTTGCAATTTCTATTTTTCATAACAGATGGAGATTGAAGATGAAAATTTTATTGATTATAGTCTTCCTATATCACTGCACGTTGCAATGTTATTATCACAATATTTCATCCTTAAAACAGTTTAGTTAAAGACTGACTTATGATTTAAATGGTTGTGTAATCTTTTTATCATTGCGTTGTTGTTTCTCAGACTTTCACTGAGCTGTTACACTTGTTTGTTTGTTTTTGTTTTTTTCTGAAACTATTTGCTAATACCAGAAAGTAAACTGATACATGTTGATATATCTGTATGTGTGAGGTAGACTAGTGTGGGTGCTGGTGGAAATTGAGCAGACATAAGTCGTCCGGTCAGAGACGAAGTACACTTTAATGGTTTAAGACTTGTAGAGGTTTACAGTCCTTGAATTTGGTTGAGTGAATTACTGTAGTACAGGTAGCAGAGAGTATGGCAGAGTAGTTTGGAGTGTAGCTTAGTATGAGTGGTTCTAAACAAACAGAAATAACAATAACCAATTAGTAATTAAATATAAACTCACTCTGTTACTTATAATATATATACTTAAACATAATAGCAATATAGCATAGTAGCAAATTAGTGATATAACGATCGATTCAGACATGTACAGACTAGATTAGCACTAGTGAAACTGGCATCGGAAGAACCGATAAATATGGCTTAAATACCACAAACAATCTCACTTATTCAGTAAATAATAATATACACATACTCAAAGTGACTTAAAGTTTACAATATTATACACCAATATCACTATTTAACCATCTCTCATATGCATTCACTGGCTCCGTGTGGATGATGCAATACACAATGCGTGTGGCGCACATATAGGTGCATCTCAATAAATTAGAATGTCGTGGAAAAGTTTATTTCTTTCAGTAATTCAACTCAAATTGTGAAACTTGTGTATTAAATTCAATGCACACAGACTGAAGTAGTTTAAGTCTTTGGTTCTTTTAATTGTGATGATTTTGGCTCACATTTCACAAAAACAAAATAAAAGTTTAGTGCTAACTGACTAGCATGTTCAGGAGGTTGTGGCATGTACAGGAGGGTAGCAGGTATTTTTTCAGAGCTTTTAGTGGTCACACGCAGCATAATTTCTAAAAAGAGTCATAAAACTTCCTGTTATCATTTACAAAGAGCAATTTGATGTCAATATATAGAAGCACCACTGAAATCCTGTGAACATAAAATAATACTGAGCCGTTCTCACTGAAAGAAAATAGTGAAATACATAAATTATCTATATCATTTTCTAATTGAGGAAAAATTAAATATGCTCCTTATTAATACTGTGAGAATTATTTATATAATTTGCATTACCTATATTTTGGGTGCCTGCAAATATTTATTCTTAAACATCTTTCTACAATAGCAAAACACTTTTTTTTCAATGTACTTTGGATTACAATATGCAAGATGTGCTCCATAATAACCAGAATGAAGAGAACGCTGGGGATGACTATGAGCTTGTAGATATGGATGATGGTGATCATGAAGATGTAAACTCTGACTCTGATCAGGATTATGTTAATGTAGATCTGGATGACTCTGAACCAGACTACATCAATGTGGAAACAGACGATTCAGAAAAAGACTATGTCAATGTCGATCTTACAGAACACAGAAGTACACTGGGCAATAACTATGAAGATTTATGAAAGCTATTTAATTATTAATTTCTATAAGTGTGTGCTATCTGCCTTCCATAACGACTGCTCAGTGGTTTATAGTCAAAAACACCACAGTACCCAATTCATTTTAAGTTTAAACAAACAGCTTCACATCTGCTTGTACTCTGTACAATGATGATATTTCATCTTTGCATCTACAAAATGACACTTCCTCAAATCTTTCTCACAGCTTTATCCGCGTTAAAAAAAAGAAAACAGCTATTCTCAGAATCAATACCACAAATTCAGCATGATTTCACATTAAGTGCTAAACTTAAAGCCCATTTCCAAGTACTATAAATTTGAGCATATATGGTTTATAGAAACTCTCAAACAGTTTCACTTTTGTTGCAGAAACCACTTGATATGCAGTAGTCATATATATGAAGTAGTCATTTTTTATAGATTAAAAAAAAAGACAACATTTTGTGTGGGACATTAGCTTTATCACATTTTCCATCAATGAAGAAACATGCATTTTACCACACAGTAATGCTGTAGTTGCAGCATCTGGAAAGAGCTGATTAATGTAAATTCGAGCAGCAGTGCCAAACCCTGCTCCCTTCCTGAAGACTTCAGTTCCAGCTCTTTAGCACACACATGCCTGTTATTTTCATGCAATCCATTTGTGACCCTGGACCACAAAATCAGCCATAAGGGTCAATTTTTTCGAAATTGAGATTTATACATAATCTGAAAGCTGAATAAATAAGCTTTCCGTTGATGTATGGTTTGTTAGGATATGACAATATTTGGCCGAGATACAACTAAAATTCATTTAAAATTTTGAAAATCTAGAATCTGAGGGTGCAAAAAAATCTAAATTCTGAGAAAATCACCTTTAAAGTTGTCAAAATGAAGTTCTTAGCAATGCATATTACTAATCAAAAATTAAGTTTTGATATATTTGCGGTAGGAAATTTACTACATATCTTCATGGAACATGATCGTTCCTTAATAGCCTAATGATTTTTGGCATAAAAGAAAAATCGATCATTTTGACCCATACAATGTATTTTTGGCTATTGCTAAAAATATACCCCAGCGACTTAAGACTGGTTTTGTGCTCCAGGGTCACATATAATTCATGAGCATCTAGATTAGCTGGTTTGATTAGAATTGGAGCTAAACCGCAGGATGGGAGTCCTCCGGGAGCAGGGTTGGCTACACCTGAACCAGAACCAGAACCATTCCTGAAAAAATAGTTAGGGTCACATCATTACTATCACTTCTATAAAAACTATTTATGGTGTGTCCAGTTTAAGGGCAATAGACTGATTGACAGATCAGTTCCTAACACACACAGCGTACGTTTCTGTTCTTACCAAAGCATCATCAGCTCTTCTCACTAATCAGGAAGTAACATCTTAATTCATGCCCATTTTGAAAGAACGCAAGCATCGCAATGCCAAGACCTTCTCTTCTCACTTTGATATTGGGTAAACTCAATTTTTAATTCTTGCAATTTCTATTTTTCATAACAGATGGAGATTAAAGATGAAAATTTTATTGATTATAGTCTTCCTATATCACTGCACGTTGCAATGTTATTATCACAATATTTCATCCTTAAAACAGTTTAGTTAAAGACTGACTTATGATTTAAATGGTTGTGTAATCTTTTTATCATTGCGTTGTTGTTTCTCAGACTTTCACTGAGCTGTTACACTTGTTTGTTTGTTTTTGTTTTTTTCTGAAACTATTTGCTAATACCAGAAAGTAAACTGATACATGTTGATATATCTGTATGTGTGAGGTAGACTAGTGTGGGTGCTGGTGGAAATTGAGCAGACATAAGTCGTCCGGTCAGAGACGAAGTACACTTTAATGGTTTAAGACTTGTAGAGGTTTACAGTCCTTGAATTTGGTTGAGTGAATTACTGTAGTACAGGTAGCAGAGAGTATGGCAGAGTAGTTTGGAGTGTAGCTTAGTATGAGTGGTTCTAAACAAACAGAAATAACAATAACCAATTAGTAATTAAATATAAACTCACTCTGTTACTTATAATATATATACTTAAACATAATAGCAATATAGCATAGTAGCAAATTAGTGATATAACGATCGATTCAGACATGTACAGACTAGATTAGCACTAGTGAAACTGGCATCGGAAGAACCGATAAATATGGCTTAAATACCACAAACAATCTCACTTATTCAGTAAATAATAATATACACATACTCAAAGTGACTTAAAGTTTACAATATTATACACCAATATCACTATTTAACCATCTCTCATATGCATTCACTGGCTCCGTGTGGATGATGCAATACACAATGCGTGTGGCGCACATATAGGTGCATCTCAATAAATTAGAATGTCGTGGAAAAGTTTATTTCTTTCAGTAATTCAACTCAAATTGTGAAACTTGTGTATTAAATTCAATGCACACAGACTGAAGTAGTTTAAGTCTTTGGTTCTTTTAATTGTGATGATTTTGGCTCACATTTCACAAAA